GGTGGTAGCAACAGCGGACGGAGGACGCTGTGCGGCTTGATTCGCCGAGCCGGCCGAGCCCCCAGCCGCCTCTCCCTCCTGTCTGCTCAACAGGAGTGTAGGCGTCCAACACCACAGCATGTCAGCATCCACCCCCAGGCCTTTTCGACCTACGAGGCAGCGCAAGGAAGAACGGCGGTCTCCTGCCACCTCGGGAGAATTGATTTTAACCCCCCCTGCGCGCTCCACTTTGATCTTGTACCCCCATGTTCATGCGACTCGCTCTGAGCCCCCCTGTTCCGACTCGTTCTTTGCTGATTGCCCCCTTCTTGTTGTTATGCGTTCAGTTTGCTACTAATGAAAGAAAAACTGGTCTGGTAATATTTCTATTTGACGAAACTGCCCTCAATACCCCCAACACGCTAGATAAAAAAACCCTCACGCGAGACAGGGCCACCAGTTCGCTCGCTCGTTCCAGCTCTCCACCCAGCCGCCTATTCGCTCTCGCCCCGCCGCCGCCCCTGCTGCTCCGCCGTCGCCCTGCTGCTCCGCTGTCGCCCTTGCTGCTCCGCCGCCCTCCATTGCTGCCCCAAGGTAAGGCAAGCTTCCCCCTTCCCTTTTCCATGGAGTTGGTGTAGTTCCCCTTGTACGGACGTCTAAATCTTAGAAACCCTAGGTACTGAGGGAGACGGGGATTTGAGTGAGAGGGGTTGGATCGGCAAAGGGGTGTGATGGATCTGAAAAGGTAACATCATATTCCCTTGTTTTGGTTTGATGTATGCATGACTTTTTGTGTGAAATTTCTGATTTTTTTGTCTATATTGAATAGGATCGATGCAATGTCTGTGCATGATTCTAATCAATCTAGTGTGACAAACCTAACCACGGGGATGGTCTCGTGCAATGAAGTAGAAACCGTTGGTACCATTGTCGATTGGTCAAGTCTTGTGATCGAACCTGAAAATGATGGGGATGAAAAGGGGATTCCGGATGAAAAGCCGGCGGACGAGAAAGCCATGTTTGCTCTGTTGGGTTTGAAAACAGAGGAGGGCGAGGGAAAAACTAACCTTGGTCCTGTTGTCACTCCTACTCCTGATTATGACTTGGATGATGTCAAAGGGGCAGCTATTGCTGTTGATGATAATGCTCCAGAGGAGCCACTTATTGCGTGGGATGAACGAAAACCAAAGATGGATATAGGGACCCCTTATCCTGATATGGCTGCGTTTAGAAAGGCTATAAAACAGTTCGCTATCAATGGAGAGTTCGAATATGGCACTAAAAAAATGAGCCGGCAAGGTTTCAGGCTTTTTGTAAAGGTCAATCCATGATAGGCCAACCTTGCAAATGGTCCTTAACTGCTAGTTGGCAGAGAGACGAAAATTGTGTGATGGTAATAATTTTTTTTTCTTTGGAGAGTTCGAATATTACTTTGTTTCTTTGCTTGTCATTGTAATGATCTTTCGATTTGAATCATTCCTTGTTGTAGGTTGTGAAGCATCAAACAGAACATATTTGTAGTTCAACGAGTGGAAAAGTGACTAGAATGACAAGTCAATCTTGGGTGGCTGACAAGGCAGCAACTATGCTTAAGAAAGATCCAACCATTGGTGCTGTGAAGATACTTAAAGAGTTACAGGAAGAGCATCATGTCACACTTGACTATAACACAGTGTGGAAAGGCAAACAAAAGGCAGCAACCAGCTTGTATGGGACTTGGGAAGAAAGTTTCAGGATGTTGTACAACTACAAGGCCGAGATAGAATTGAGGTCTCCAGGGAGTATTGTAGAGATTGATACAACCACAAGTGAAGGTGAAGTACATTTCAGCAAGCTATTTATTGCTTTCAAGCCATGCATAGATGGGTTTCTGAATGGATGTAGGCCATATATCAGCATAGACTCAACTCACTTAAATGGCAAGTGGAAAGGTCAGCTAGCTGTAGTCACTGCTTTGGACGGTCACAATTGGATGTTCCCGGTGGCGTATGGCTTTATTGAGTCTGAAAATGGAGAAAATTGGGCTTGGTTCATGAATCAAGTGAAGAAGGCAATAGGGGACCCTCCAGTACTGGCTGTTTGTACGGATGCTTGCAAGGGTCTTGAAAATGCTGTTAAAAAGGTTTTCCCTCAAGCTGAGCAGCGTGAGTGCTTTAGGCATATGTGGCATAATTTTCAGAAATATTTTCATGGTGATGTGTTTGGACGGTTGTGGCCTGCTGCTAGGGCATATAGGGCGGAAGAATATCAACATCACATGACAAAGGTGTTTGAGGCATTTGAGAAAGCGTATCCTTACCTTAGGGATTACCATAATCTGTCATTTGTCATACACCAATTAAATGCAAAGACTCGAGGACTAGGACATCTCAAGGCTAAAGCATCAGCTGATTGGAGTGGAGAAGTGAAAAATGATAACAAAGGGGATGAAAGACATGTCGTCAAAACACTCACACATGAGTGTACATGTCTGCAATGGCAGCACACAGGCAAGCCTTGTGACCATGCACTAGCCTTCATAAATGTTTTGCAAGCTCGCAACTTTGTGAACATGGAGGATTATGTGCACGAGTACTACTCAGTTAGCAGATTCAGGGCAGCATATGAAGGTGTAATTGAGCCCCTTACGGACAAGAATCAGTGGCCACATGTTGATACAGGCTTTGTGTTGCGTCCACCAATTCCAAAAGGCAAGAAAAAAGGTGCTGGAAGAACAAGAAAACAGAGGATGAAGAGTTGGTGGGAAGGTGGATGAAGGAAGGGATCATTGAACAAATGCAACAAATGCGGGGACGTAGGACATAGAGAAGCCGGCTGTCCTCAAAATGGAACAAAGAAACGGTACAAACTAATACTTGTTGCTGTTTTCTACCTATAACACCATGATTCTTTAACATGAAAATATCTCTAATTGCTTCTTTTTGTAGGAAAAGTATGGGGAAAAAGAATCCATCTCCATGGTTTGATGTCTCAGTTAGCAATGTGATTCCATCTACACCAACCAAGAGCAAGAATGTCGCCACTTGTAGCAGTCCTGGAGCTGTGACAAGAAGCCAAGCGGCATCTCAAGCTAGTCCTGGAGCTGTCACAAGGAGCCAAGCAACATCTGAAGCTGCTACTCCACCACCAAAGTCTCCAGCAAAAGGAAAGAAGAAGAAAATGACTCCAAAGAGGAAGAAATTAAGCGATCTGTGATGAACTTGTGTTATTGCTATGTGTGAGGTGCAGACTCACTTTATTGTTCTGTATGTGAGGTGCAAACTCTCCTTTTGGTCCTGTGTAAGTGAGGCAGAGACTCACTATTATTCTGCTATGTGTGTGAGGTAGAGATTCACTTTAATTCTGCTGTGTAAGTGAGGTGGAGACTCACCTTTATTTGTTGTCATGCAGTTCTGTAGAACCTTGCTGAACTTATTATATATGCTATCATGGAATCATTGTGAGACTATATTATTTGTATTCTGTTCGTTTGAAAGGCTACATATACAGCAAAATTGAACTTCTTTTTTTTCTGTGAGAAACATAGCACAGTTGAAGCAAATCCTGTCATTTGAGAAAAAAATTGTGGCTGGGACGTTCAGACTAGGTAAAGAGATCTTTTTAAACTGAAGGGTACTTCTGTCCATTCTTATTTCTATTTGATGATTAGATACTAACAAATGTGTTAAACAGGCAAAAGGGGTTTATTAGCAACCACTGGACGGCCCGGGGGGGCTCAGAGCGAGTCGCACGAACATGGGGGTACAAGATCAAAGTGGAGCGCGCAGGGGGGGTTAAAATCAATTCTCCCGATACAGATAAATCGATATGTTCTAGCCTTGTAGTGATCCAGGAGCAGAATCTGTTTGTACAATTAGAGCCCGCAGCTTGCTTTCTAGGATTATTAGGAGGTGGATTTTTGGTCCTGTGTTTGGGGAAAGGAAATTCAGCGTTGGCAACAAATGCTCTGGAAACAGTTTTTTTTTTCTGCTTGGATTAACTGTTGTCTTCTGGTCTTGCATATGAGAATGGGTGAGATGAAGGTTCGCTTGAACATAGTCTCAATGCAATTGGTAGGCAAGAAGCTCCTGCTCCATGAGCTCCATACCCCAATCTAAATATTTAGCTCACAGAGACAATTGGATGTGGCTGTGGGTTCTTTTAGCAGGATGTCTGTACAAGTAATCTGTGTATGAGTCCAAGTGATAGCTCATGGCTGCTTTATTTTGCAACAAAGCTCTTATGGTTTATTTGCTTCAAGAAATGAGGAGACAAAGGGAATAATACCATGGGAGTCGTGCATCCTCAAGGAAGTGGGCCTGATTCATATGATTTATCTTCTAGGTACAACATCAATCCAGGGGTAGCATAAAAAATGTTTGAGTGTGATTGTTTTGCTACGGGTTGAATATGTTTTTGGTTAGTGCTGTTGTGTTCATTCCTGCTCTGCTATTTGTTATGGTGTTGATAACATATATACCCACACTTGACTATGAAAAATATTAACCAAATTCAGATTTGTTCCTACAGTAAGTTTGGATTTGCAACTGTGATCATAAGTCATGTTCCTACCGGTGTATCTGTTTTTCTCAATATTTTCTTGTTTGCCTTTCATTTATAGCCTGCCGAGCATCTGTGTAACTTAGCTTGTCCCCTTTTAGGGGCTGCAAGCTAAGCCTATCCAGAGCAGGTATGACTTAAAAGAAGCCCAGAAGTTCAATACAAGCACATCACTAAGGTGAACACATATGGATAAATACAAAGGCATATGGTTCTTATGTAGAACAAACTGTTGCACTCACATTATTCAAAACAATACTAATGCAAGGACCATCTAAACAAGTCATTTTTCAGGAAAAGAACAGCAAAGAAATGCACCATCGAAAAGTAGTAACGATATACCAGGTGGAGTAGACAAATTGGCTGGCATGGTTTGGTCCAAAGGTGACAGATAATGGACCTTATTCACGAGCATGTTAAACTAGGGAGGTAGATGAGACGACAACAACAAAGCTGCAATCAGATGACGTGATAGAAACATGTTATAGGTTGGTTGATGAGCCGCCTCTCTGTGACTCAGGGACATCACCTTTATTACCATCAAACAGGGTGGGTTTGCTTGAGCCATCCGATTTGCTGTTATTTCTGTTGTTTTTTACTTGCTGAGTGTCAGGGGAGGCTTGTTCCTGAGACTCTAGTAAATCTTGTCCTGAAGTTCTCCCAGGTTTCTCGGTTCCAGACACCGGCGGTGCAGCTTCAGAGCCTTGCTTCCCCGTGTCTTGCGGCGAACTAATGGACTTGTCACTTTGCAGCTGCTGTTGTCTCATGCTCTTCTCGGGGGCTGATGATGGCATTTCTCTGGATGTTTCTGAGCTGCGATAATATAATGTTTCATTTGTTTGCTTGCTACTATCCTTAGAAGATATCGACTTACTCGCATCAGATGCTGGTGCTTGCAGTGGCGCAGGTGCTGCACTTTCACCAGCTGGTGATTGGCTTGGCATCCGTGGGGATGGTTGTTGCTCATTGGTGGATGGTGATTTTCGTGGCTGTGTGGCACCACGATCATCAGAAGCCATTCCTCCTTTCGGTGGTGAAGTTGCTCTCCTTTCATCAGCTGTGATTGGAGTTTGAGGATCTCTTGCGCCAGCTGCCTGTACTGGAGGGGGTTGCATACCTGTTGACTGTGGTTTGAGCACTGCTGGATCACTTTGCTCAAGCATTTTTCTGAGCCTCTTAGTGGAGAACTGGTCATCTTCACTAATGGCACCCTCTTTCATTGGCGACGAGTCAGATACTTTCAGATCAGCTGGCGTTGCTTGAGGGGTATGTTGAGAACCTGGCGGCAGTTCCCTGGTTGGTGCAGATGCAGCCCTCTTCTGATCAGCCTCTCTACCTTCTTTAGTGCTGTCTTTGGCACCACGGCTTCTAGCTTGTGGTGCAGTTTCATTTTGAATGTCTCTGAATGCCACTTGCTTTGGTGAATGAGCAGCATCTTTTTGATCAGCTGCGGCCTTCTTCGCTTGCTCAGAGGGCTGTTGTGCATATGGAGTTTGGTCGGTGGGTTTGGGGGCTTCTTGTGAAAGCGTAGGTTTGCTAAGGGTTGCCGCCTCATCATCAGAGAGATGGAGCTTATCAGGAGCTTTTTTGGATGATCCTTGACCGGGTCTGGTTGGAGATGAGGCATCTTTGGAGGTGGATTTGTCGGTATCAGTTCTCTGAGACATTTTGGTGGTGCTAGGAGGGGCTGCTGGGGTAAAGAAGTTACTCGTGGTGCTTTGAGCACTGCTAGGTGGTTTCTGAGTGGTGGGACTTCTTTGCTTTGCGGGTGCTGGTGTTTTCTCGGTGGCAGTAAAGAAGTTACTTTCTTTTATTTGGCCAGGTGAATTTTGGCCGTGAGAGGTTGTTTCTGCGGGAAGAGGTTGAACTGTGAAAGATGAGGATGATATAGTACCGCCGCTGGGTGGTGGAACCAGTATTGTCCGTGACTCTGTGCCTGTCTGCTTTCGAGGGTCTATGCGGATGGTGCGGCTGCTATATGTTGCCGGCGGTTCTGGGCCTTCTGGCTGCCACTGCCACTGCTGCTCCAGCTGCTGCTGCTGCTGCTGTTGCTCAAGTTCTTCCATCTGGTACTGCTCCTCCACGTCCTGCATATCCCTCACCACCTGCTGCCAAGAGTCCCGCGCAGAGATTGTATTCCACCACCTCTGCACGTTCTTCCTCGAGTCATACAGGTAGGCGAACTCTTCGGATGTCACTATGTGATGGGTGTTGGGTAGGTGAACAAGGTCAGCAAGAGTGAACTTGTTCCCAGCAAGGAACTTGCTCTCGCCAAGCCTTTGCTCGTAAACCTCCAGGACTTCTTCCAGCTTCCTCTTCTCTCTGTCGATGTCACTCATGTCTTCATCAGGGAAAGGGAAGGCCAGGTGGCAGAACAATGCCCGGCTCGGAGGATCGAAGGCATGCTCCTCATGCCGGAGCCACTGTTCAATGGAAGCCCTCTCGAGGACATCCTTCCCCAGGAGGAAAGGATACCCACGCTGCTCGTAGGTTTCTGCTATATAACGGCAGATTGCTCTTGACTCTGCAGTTTAGAAGATGGATTAGTGCTGTATTCTGAATTTCTGATCGAAGTTGCATCATTTATTATTCTGGTTACTGAGTATCTATTAGAAAAGTCCTGCATAAACTTCACAGTAAAAACTGAGATTGTGTAGTTATAATTTCTTAGGACTAGTACGCAGAAAGCACATCAGTTTAGACTTACTAGCAAAATGGCAAAACCATGATATACTTGTATTTGAAATGTTAATTATTTTTTCATTGTTTCTACTGAAGAGCTATTCATTTCCATAGCATGTTTACGAGATAATCCAAGTAGTGTTGCATTTCATTTACAAACCATGATGATGGAGCAATTTGAGGTTAAAGCTGCATGCGATATTTTTTTTTAGCCAGGAGAAAGCTTTGTTGATTAACTAATAACATTATTATAATCGTTTTGAAGAAGCATTGACACACACGCTAGGAACCTCTTAAGTATAATATCCCCTACTACATTCTGCTTGACTAGTTTAGATATTGATGAGCAGGAATACACTTGTATGCACGAACTATTGATGTGGAGGAAATCCTGACTATTTCACTCCAACTTGCACACAGAAACAAGAGACGGTGTTGCTTTGGAAACCAGAATGCTAAAGAAATACTCCCTCCGTCCCATAATGTAAGACGTTTTTTTGACTCTAGTGTAGAGTCAAAAAAACGTCTTACATTATGGGACGGAGGGAGTATATAAGCAGCTAAGCATGTTATATTGCCAAGCCATCAACCCCCTGTCAAAACCATTTTAGATCTCAAACTGTTGTTTGTTATGTCAATTCTATTTACTTTTTGCAACAATTGTATTTTGCAGGGCTGATTCGCAAGGTATAACCTGAATTTATCTCACTGGGTTCAGGTGGGTGTTGTTACATCAACCTTTCCTAGCTACAAGGCATGCATGCATGCGTGCTGAGAATCTTGAGACAGGAGGCTATATCTCATTCGAGTAAGCGTGTATATAACTTGTAAACAAAGCAATTTTCTTGTAACCAATCATAGAGTGTATATCAACGAGTTAAAGTGGCTGAACTATGTAACAAGCAGTGTTACCTTGTCGAAATGTGGGTCCGTCATAGAATGGAACTGGAACACTCCTTGTTGACTGCAGCAGAGGCAGAGAAGAAAAACAGAAGTTGATATGAGATCAACTTGCACAAACTCAAGAAACTGCTGCTTGTACAATCTGGGTATTCCACGAAAACTAAGACAGCAAGTACCTGGAGTCTGAGTATGTCCTTGTATGAATCTTTCACGGTTTCAAACTCGATGTTTTTCTCGTACAGGCAAGCAAGCACCCTCGACACATCGGGCAGGATCATGGACTTCTCATGGTACACCTTCACAACAGGAGCTCCCGCCCCGGTGCCGAGCCCTGCCATGGTGGCCAGAGCTCTCTCTCCTTTGGTTGAAGAAGTGAACCCGGAGCTGTATGCAGGCGAGTACTGTAAGCCCACCCTCATTTTTTTAATATAAGAAGGTCATCTGCCTCCATGAGGAAGCAAAGAGGAGATGCTGAAAGTGAGAACCAAGGAGGTGAGTGCATGGGACGATAGAATTAGATAAGAAGCAGAGAAAGAGAAAAGGAAAAGACAGAGAGAACAAAGGGGGAAAAAAGCAAAAGGTGAAAGTGAAGTAAATCTGGAGGGTTTTGATTTTCGATGGTGTTCTTTAGGTGTTGCCATCATGAAGTCACATCAGCAATGCCAAGGTACCGTCTATTTAAAGGGAAAGGGAAAGTCGAAAGCTATTTCTTGGACAATGCCTCTTTTAGTAACCAATCGACTGACGGGGGAACGTCTCAAATGAAGTAACGGACACTGTTCTATTTGCTGGGTTATGTCTCGCTTTATTCATTTCTTGGCCCTTTAACCAAAGGAGATGCGGAATGCCGGTACGGGAGCACAGAGGTTTTGTCTAGTAAGGCAAGTTTAGCATCAGACCTGTATGGCCCCTTCCTTGTACCAGCCTCCCAGTCAACCAGGCAAACGGGATGAGTGATGGGCATCCAGGGTGCCTTTGTTGCTTGTACCACCAGCCTGACCGACATGGGGACTTCAGACAGAGGATACCTCGGTAAATTGCCAATCACAGGCCATCTAGGAAGCGTAGGTGTGTGCGTTAGGGTTTCCTTTTTAAAACAGCGTATAGTACAAAGTGAATGCATGTGCTGCAACGTAGGTAGAATCATGTGTTGCCCAAGTGTGTGAATTGGGTACCGAGTATTATGCTTCATTTCTGTGGAACAGAGTTGGAACTTGTTAGAACAAAATGAAGCATAATACATTCTTGTTTAAGCAAAGTATCAAGTATTCCCTAAAAAAAGTATCAAGTACTCAGAAAGTTTGGAGTCCTGCTGGAGCGATGGGGTTCTTGTTTTCTGTCACTGATAAATTCCTCCGTTTGTTGTTGCAGCTTATTTCAAGGTACAACTATCACAAACGTTATTTCTTTTATCTTATTTTTTCATGATTTAACATCTGGAGGCTGACCTTTTGTTTTCCTCCATTTACGTCCCTGCACAATAAGGTATACTACACCATGTCTTTCTTCTGGTCTGGCTGCACGTGAAGCTTCTGATGGGAGCTCAAGTGCTCCTGTAGATTCTGAGTGGGCACTCTTTGTACCTGTCGAGGATTTCATATATGTACGTCACATCTGCATGATTCTTTGAACTCTTCTTACCCGTTGACCTGGCACTTTTCAGCATTGAGTGAGTGTTATCATGCATCTTAGTTGTGTGTACACTGTCGCTAAACTAAATTGGCAGTAACTTGATTAGTTGTCTCCATCCTGAAAACCTTACTGTGAAGCTGAGTGGCTGACCACTTGTATACTTTAGTTTAGTCCAGTGGCAAGAGCGTGGCTGTGCGCAAGTTCGAATCATGTGCCGCGATGATAATGAAGACACACATGACCCGGAAGCCTGTGTGCTGGATGTGAAAATGTCTTTTCATAAACTGGGTTTGAGGAAGTGTGGGAAGGCTGTGCGTTCGGTGGTGGACAAAGGAAGAGCGCAGGAAGTCCTAGTTCTGTACTAATCACACATTAGCGGTAGCTATATAGGAAATCTGTAAGAAAATTTCATACCCATTCCTGCTAATACATGACTTAAGTAGAGTAGCTTACTTTACTTCAGAACCAGTGTTGAGTTTTTGTGTGCCTCGCAAAAAAAAGAAGTGCTGTATTTGTGTCCGTCAGGCAAGTGACCCGGATGCCAACAAGAACGTAATTTTTTTTCCAACTGTAGAGGAATCTCTTTTTTTTCTTCCCTTAAACCTCCATCCCCAGACGCAGAGCACATTCATTTTCTTTGGTTGTCTTTGATGGCTCGTCGCTGCTTAACTCTTGGACTCTGAGATTTTTCCCCGGCTCGATGTTGGACGCACGATATTACTCGAGCTCCTCAGAGAAACTTTTTTTTTCGGTTGCTCAAAGAAACTTTTTAACAAAAGGAAATCAATCAAGTCGTTGTAGTATAGTGGTAAGTATTCCCGCCTGTCACGCGGGTGACCCGGGTTCGATCCCCGGCAACGGCGATTTTTCTAAGCTAGTTCTGCACATTGATATTTTGCTTCAGCATCAACATCATCATCAACAAACAAAGAAATTACAGTAGCCTCGCCCTCCTACACGCACGTACGCAATCTGCATTCCGATATTTTTTTAGCTCTCATTGTCGTTGCCCGAGCCCAGGTGCTGGGGTGTCTACCGAATTGGGCCGCGTTACGGGAATGCAGCCCACCAACGCGAGGCTGTTGCTGGCTCGCTGGGGCACCGGGCGGGCGGGGAGAAACAAACCCGCTGAGCGCTGATGTTTAGTCCCACATCGGCCAAGAAGGAGAGACGCACCGGTTTATAACCGTGAGCGCGGCAGCAGACTCGTCCCTTGGGGGACATTTGATAAAATTGGAACGATACAGAGAAGATTAGCATGGCCCCTGCGCAAGGATGACACGCACAAATCGAGAAATGGTCCAATTTTTTTGAGATTTCGCGCGCTGGTCCTTTCCCTTCTCGCAGATAAGCCCTCGAAGGACCTACTTTCGCGCCCTTGTTTATTTTGAGGATTACAACCAGGTCCTTTCTGGGTTTATTTCTTCCCTTTTGTGTATACACTGTGAATAGTGTTGCACCAGACCATAATTTTCTTACAAATAGGTCCTGGATTTTCTTGTAATCCCTGACTGTTTATTTTTCAACATAGCCTTGTTGGAGCTTCACTACCGACCTGGTCTTCCACTTTTCTTCTACTCTCAGTAAAATAGAAGTATAAGTTCTCCACTTTTCTTCTGAGATAGAAGTATATTTGCAGTGTGCGGCGTTGTTTTCTTATTTGTAGGATTTATTTTATTATGCTTGTTTATTTAATGATGATTTTATGTCGGTGATTTTGTGATTTTAGTCGAGGTGACGGCGATGTGAGATCCAAAGAAAGCATAGACATGGTTGAAGAGCATATGTTTCCACTCGTAGATAGCCGCCACCAAATGATGTAGACATAACTGGTTTGCCACAACAATCTCCTTACACAAATATTGTTGCTCTATTATGTGGAGACGACACTTTACGCACGTCGCTCATCTCTGACGCGTGTATTAACTACTCAAAACCGAGAGTTCTCTATTGCAAGGGAGTTTAGGGCATTTCCAATGGCAACCCACAAAAATCCCCCCGCATCCGTTTGCGGACAGGAGCGGAGGAGGAGGGTGGCGCTGGCTTGTCATCGGAGGTGTCCTCCATCTGCACGTCGTCAGAGGAGGCGTCCTCCGGCTGCCTGTCGGCAGCAATGGCGGCCATGGCCTTCTTCTGCTCCGACGTCAGCCTGTCCCAGAGAGTTTTGGCTGCGGAGGGATCCATGGCGGGGAGTGGTGCGGAGAGGGATGACTATGGCTATGGCCGAGGCATCATGGCAGTAGTTTATATAGCACCGATGGACGGCGGAGTGATGGACGGGTGGTACCGGAGGAGACGCCTCGGCAACCGCGTGCCATTAATGCGGGTGACAGACGGACGGACGTGCGACCATCGTGTCATTTGAACGCGTGGAAGTCGCCTGCATCAGGGAGCAGTGCGGGCGGCGCAGTCTCGGCCTGTGTGTCGCTTTAATGCCGGCGCCAGCGAGCGGTCGCATCCACTTTGGCCCGGCACGAAAGCGGGCACTGGCGCTCTGGAGCGAGGCTGACTGAAAACGCGCAGGAGGGGGGGGTGGTTTTTGGTGGGGCAGGGCGGTCAAAAGCAGGCTTGAGATCGATCCGGACTTCCGCAAACCTCCTCCACTTTTGTCTCCGGGTTGTGGGAGGAATCACGTTTAGACCGCGTCACAGACCGATACAGGACCGCGCGTTTCAGACGGTTGCGGGCCGGCATTGGAGATGCCTTGATGAGTTGAAGATATATGATAAACTTGTAATAGCATATCTGTTATTGTTGGTACCCGCTAAAAGACTTTGAGGATGAGCTACCAACATCAGACATCATAGTTCTGGCTCTGACGATAACTATGAAGGACATAACCAGGCACGGCCGGCGCCACGGAAGATCGCCGAATGGGCCAATTGCAGTTAGTCATCGTACACTACAGGGCCGCATTGCCGCAGCTTCGACTTTATAGTAACAAACAAACTGAGGCAGTCCTATGGACATACCGAAGAAGAGCCGACTACCTCAACCATTGCCGCGTCGCAGACATCACTCCCATTGCATTTTATTGTTAATTAAGTCGTTGCAGTATAGTGGTAGGTATTCGTGCCATAACCCGGGTTCAATCCCGGGGCAATGGTGATTGTTTTTTTGTTGTTGTTGATGATTTTCACCCTTGACTTGACACTTATATATCATTAATGTTTGTTTAAGGGCCAGGAAAAAGAAAAGACTTTTGTCCGTGATGACTCACCGTGAATCACAAGTAAAGCTAAACCGGCATTTCTGACATGTGGCGTCACAACTCACAACCAAACTTGAGCGACTTGACCTGAGGTCGTCCGTTCTGTCCCACGGTCCAAGTCATATGGGTCTTCAGCAGCACGAGACCTCCTTATCTTCATGCCGTATGCCGTGAGGGGATCAATCCGTCAGAAAAGAAGAACTGAACCGAACACTTTGTTCTTGGCCTGCAATAACACTCTGTTTTTGGTTCATTTATGCACTAAAAATGAGCTAGTACAGAGTATCTTTTATACTCCTACCAAGTACCGTAAAAGAAATCAATTTATTAGTGACAAGAATATATACGTATCTGGCAAGTCATTATCAGCCCAAATCAGTTTAGGCAGACACAGAAAACGAATATCCGTTTCAACAGCAGGACGTGACGTGAAGAGGTGATATCAGAGGCATGAAACGAGCCTCATGGACGCGTGAAGCTTGCACGCACGCGCACCTTCACCGGCCCTCTTTAGCCGACGGCTACATATTTATACCCCCGTGCTGCCCGCTCCATTGCTCATCAAGCAGCTCGATC